AAATGATTAAATAATGAATTGCTTCAGTAATACAGATAAATAAATTATTCCAGCCCAAAGCCCCCTAATTCACTCAACCATTGAACTGAAATGTTTTGCTGTAATGTTTCAGTTACTGTTTCTATCAGACTTGCAGGGCTGGTTTCACCCTTGCCCAGCAGTGTGATGAAACGGGACATCCCTCTGCAGTATCAATGTGCTCCACGACCTATGTTACACTGTCCGCTGCTTTCCAGCATTTTCTTGGTCCCTGTTCATCACCTGGCTGAGAACAGTGTCACAATGTGACAGCAGTGTGCTGTATCCCTAATGAGCTTCAAATGCCAGGACAAGCCCTATGACTGTTGGGAATCAGATCACTTTCAATCTGGCCCACCAAACCTTTCTACTTTGGAGTCAATAATCAATTTGCATCCTGGTGGTAGCTTACGAGGTGAGGTAGCTCACATTAAAGTGTACCCGTTGCCTGGCTTTCAGCGCCTTTGGAATGTCCTCCCAACGTGAAAGGCGCTCTATAAATGTGATCTTGTTGTTGTTCTATGGGGAGCATTTTTGTAACAGAAACCACATCAAAACGCCACTTTACACGGAGAGATTGCAACAAGGACTGGCACACAAACAGAAATTCAAGCAGGAATACTGATTACATTAAGATGGCCATTGGTGTTTTAAATTATTGTGAATCCAAATGTGTTCGTGTGGTTGGGAGAGGGGGGGGGGCGGTGGTGCGGGGGTATGGGGGGGGGAGAGGTGGCGGGAGAGAAAGGAGAATCTATAAGTAATAAACATGTAAATTATTACAAATCCACACGTTAGTTCATGGACATAGCACCAATTCCAATACATTTCACCTGCCTCCTAGCCAAATCTTAATATGATAATCAGAGGAAATGTCAGTCAAACTGAATACATAATCTTCCTTGATTACACTGACACCAAGTGAAGCTTTCCCCGGCCAAGGAGATAAGAGCAGTGCAGCTATTACATACATACACCGCATTGATGGAAACAAACTGGTATCAAAGCAAAGGTAACGTCCAAATAAACACGCAGTTAACTGTGATTGAGACAGTAATCGTATTCTACATTATACCAGTCTTTTGAAATTTGCCATTGAATCAACTGACTGTAAATGGAAGTAATGTGTTCCAAAGCTAAGTGTGGTGGTGCTTTGAATAATAATCGTTAAAAATGGGAATTTAACCAGAATAAGGCACGCTAGAAAAATAACGTGTGGAACTTACCCATTCTGCTTCATGTTCTTTTGACTTAAACCAGGGCACGTTTCAGACAACAGTTGTGCAATCCACCACGCTGGGGTAGGAAGCAAAAGGAGAATCCAAATTGCTTGTGTAATCTCTTTACGCAGTATGAAAACATTTCCAACCTAAAGCTTCTTTTTTTCCCAGAACATGGGAGATTTGCCAGATTCTCTGTTTCCAATGGCTCCTTCAAAAAACTTTCAAAAAAAGATTACCTGAGAAGTGAGTTTCATACTGGGGCCAATTTAGAGATGGTACTGGATGAACTGCAGGTTAATGGGGGTTATTTCTGCTCTGCTCTCTCCATTGTCTCTGTGCTTCAAAATGACTGATACAGACTGAGAAGGTCCCAGAATCAAACCAAAATCTGGGCTGATCTCAGCAGGGAGACTCGTTGGCTTGAATTCGACAATTTATCTTGAGATGAGTCAGTGTAAAGTGTTTTAAAATCCAGACTCCCAACGTTCCAACACACGGAAATCTCTGAAACCCTTTCTGAACACAACCTGCTACAATTGCAACAAACACCTGCAAGAACTTGGAACTGTGATTGGACTCGGATCGGCAATTTAAAACATGTTCCAGGTGACTGCTGTGCACAATTGTCTGTCAATTGTTCTGCCCACAAAATGCACAATTAAGTCACTTTGTAGTATATTCTGTGAAGCGCTTTGAGACGTCGTGAAGAAGTAATAAGGTGCTATATAAAAAAAAGGAAAATGCAGTACAGTGGTAATCCAGATTAACTGAATTAACAGGCGTATTCAAAATAAATTAGAATACAAATGAATCAGGCCGGGTGTTTTGTCCAGTTTATCTGGTGTCCAAGGTTAATTGGCATCAGGCTAAAGCAGCTTCCACTGTCTTACCTAAACATTAGGTGTTTAACCAGTATCAGCTGGTTCAGAATTAACTCAAATTTCTATGGATTATTCTCCCCATAAAGTAAATGGAGGAGCTCTGATATCCAGATTCTTTTATGTACAGCACCAAGGTGGATGAGCTAAGAAGACAGCAGTTGATGTGTGTTAAAGCATATTTACTATCTGTAGTTTTTCTTTGAGTTTTCTAACATAGCCTGGAAGCACAGTGAAAAGAAATCAAACTCCCAAAGGGCTTTCTTTCCCCGAAGAACATATTTTTAAACGAAAGCTCAGGCAGGAGTCAAAAATGACTCCTCAAGTAATTGTGCAACGTTTTAATTTTATCCCCTTTATGATTAATCTCTTGTTTAACGTTGTTTCCTGACTGTGCTTTTCATCTGAGGACATCATATTTTCCAAAACAGTGGATGCGAAACAATGAATTACGCTGAAACTTTTTTAAGCGCCTGTCTTCAATAACTGCATTGCTTGTTGTTCCACACAATTTATGACTTCAGTTTGGGCTAATAAATTTCCTGCTTTGGTTTGCACATGCAGGTGTAACACGAAGCAGATTGTTGTGCAATGACAGCAGAGTGCTCCAAGGAGTTCTAAGTGACCTCTGCTGGAAAATAGATATTGCCAAGGTTAGACAAGCCTTGGCTCTTATCTTCCACACGGCCTGGGGTCAACTCGCTTGACAACGCTCACTGTCTGGATCCACACATGAAGAACAGCCACGTGAGAGGAGACTCCAGAGGTTGGCAACACTTGTGAAACAGCACGCCGGCATTAAGTGCTGCCTTCAGAGACAAATGAAGGGCAAAATAATCAAAATGTCCTTACTTAACTATGAAAAGTAACAGAAAAGACTTAATTATAAGCATTGCTTTTATAGCAATGAGATTATTAAATTAATGCCATGCACACCCAAGTGTCCTAACGACACAACCTCTCCAATCAAATCAGTTCATTTGTTTCCTCCAACAATGTAGATCCCGAGAAATCAAACCAGAATGCTTACCGTTACAGTTAATTATGTCTCTAAAATAATCACGTTTTAACAAATCATTTTTCTGGTGGGGGAAAAAATATTCATAGCCAGAAGACTCAAGTCTGGCAAAGTTCCCAAAGATTAAAATAATTGTGTTTTTGACGCACATGAGAAACTTCTCGTCATTATACCAGCAATTTCAGCAAGTCAATGGTCATTAGAACAACCTGCTAGCTGTCTGTGGTTAAAGCCTTATTTTTTTGGATCGCACAATCAGTCGCTAACTTAAACCAAAGCACACAAGTAGCCTGCAGCATATAATTTTTCGCAGCATGGCAAAACAGGTTTCAGGGTGCTTTTTCCCCAACCAGCGACTCCAATTTACCTCAAGAAAAACTATGACTTTCGAAATAACAAATGATTATTAATTATTTACCCGATGTGATTTGCCGGGTGCAAGTGTAAAGTCTGTGAGCTTCATAAGTATATTGAAAATTGCCCCGAGATGGGCAGGGAAATCTTGACAAGCAATAAACTTAACAAGGTACTGTGCAATTGCTTATACATAAATTTTCCCTTTTAAGAAGAAATCCACAAGGTTGGACACGTAGCTCTGGTTTTCATTGACTTGGTCCCAATATGCCTTTGTTTCGGTTCACCTGCTGAAGAATTAAGGTGCTATATATCATGATCGTGCATTAATTTATTGCTGTCTATGATACCGCTCAGTTTTGCGCATCTGTACTTTTATCAGGGTCAAGCTGTCCATCACAGATGTACTGTGCATAATGGGATCCTAGATCAGAAACTGGAAGATTCTGCTGCAGTGCCTAAAGTTTGTTACGCAAACCAGTAACATGGATCACAAGGCATCTGCTCTTATGGTGGTGCATTATGCATGGCAAGACCTCACAAGGGGCTTGTCCAAAGGCCGTGATTCCTCATGGACTCATTGAATTCAGATGACATCTGTCTGTATTTTGAAGTCTGTTGTGCCATTGTTTTTTTTTGCTCTTCGGCAGGCCAATTTCATCTATTCCTTCAGTTGTCAACAGAGCAAGATGTCCTCACATCGATGTTGCCTGGGCCAGGAGAGGCAAAGTACTCAACTGATCAGGAGGGACCCTGATCAAGATATTGTTCCAAACCTTCGGAGACAGAACTGCAGCCAAGTTCATAGATTTTATATTCGAGCAAGATGTGCATATTGGCACTTTTCACAAGCTGACCACTTGACTGGCCTAAAATACTGAAATCCAAGAAATAAATGATTAATGATAATAATGCTAATCCTTACATTTGATTTGGAAGACGTCTCAGTGTTTCACAGGATTTCCTGTAAAGTGAAGTGACTGTGTATTTTGTGGGCAAACATGGCAGGCAGTTTGTGCACAGTAATTGTCCTACAAACAGACATGAAATGAATGATCAATTTTATTTTGCAGATGAGCTTCCCACCCTCAGCATCTCAAAGCATATTAAGACAGTCATAGGATCACGTTTGTATGACTTTAGAGCAAGGTTAATCATCAATCATTTCCATCAAATATCCGCAGAAGTTGAGGTGAGAAGCCCAGCTTCAGACCAGGCTAACACAGCACAAATTACAGCTGCTGACTAGCAAGATATTTCAAGCCAAAGCACAACTGGAAGTGGCAGACATGTGGGCAAATGAAAAGTGTTCATTGACAGCAATCCAACTGAGTGAACTGATAGTAATAATGACATGCAAATCACTCCAAAGAAGCTTGCTAACATTCTCCACTCAAGTAAAAAATCATTTCCGAACACATTACACTCAACAATGGTAATTTGACCACTTTAGTGAGTCTTTTCATGGGTGCAGAGCGACTCAACTGAAAACTTTCTGAACACCAATGCGATCGTATAAAGATTTATTTGATCAGTGATTAACCTGAAAAGGAATTATATTACAAGTGTGTGAGTTTGGGGGTTACAGCTACTTTCAAAATATCCCTTTTTTTGCCTGATATCACCCAATGCAATTTTAATATATTTAAAAAAAAGACAAAATTTCAAAGTAACAGAATGTTTTAAAAAAAAGTTACTGATCAACACATATTTTGTACATTGGTTCAATTATATTGCATCAACAGTCAATGTACAATTCACTTAAAAAACAAAATGCTAATCTACCTCAACAAGTTCATAATAAGTAAATCATAAGACAGTTACCACTTGTGCTATGAATTCAACATTGCATAACATTGGGAACAATATTTTAGTTTTCCAATGACAAAACTTAAACAAATGTAAATACTAATCCTTGCATTTGATAAAGCGCCTTATTATTTTGTGGGCGAAACGCGGTAGCCAATTGCGCACAAACAGTTATCTTAAGACACTTATGCATTATTAAACACGCGCAAGACCTCCAACAAATAGCTAAAAACAACTTTTACAACGAGTCTACTTTCCGAGCCATTGATCAGTCCGATGACACAACTCCTTCAGGCAGATCGACCATCACAGGAGCACAGTCGTCAGGCTCTTCATCGAAATCCCACTTGAACTTACGGGTTAAGTGAGCTTTAAACTTTCCAACTCGCCTCTGCAGAGCTTCATCCACCATCGGACTGTGCATGTATGAAAAGAACTCCTGGTTTAAAATAAAAGGAAATACATTTAACACCAACAACTGCTTGTGTTTATATAATAATAATCCTTGCATTTGATATAGCACCTTATCTCGTCTTCGAGGCGTCTCAAAGCGCTTCACAGGATATACTGTTAAGTGAATTCACTGTATATTGATGGCCGAATCACGGCAGCCAATTGCGTACAGTGTCCCACAAACAATCGTGGATTAAGTGACCAAATTACTATTATTAATTTATTTAATATACTATTATTAATTTTACTTAATAATTTAATATTATTAAATCCGAAAAATATGTACGTGCAAACAAAAAGCGCTCAGAGTATGGTCACTGACACCTGGCTTTTTGACAAATCTGCACAAATAACCCTAGATAATGAATGCTCGTACAATAGTGCCCACATCATCATATGGGCCAGATATCAATATTCTACAGACGTAGTACTGAATTGTGTCTGCCCAACATCAAAACATATTAATTCTTCCTTGCTTAATAATTCCTCGGCTTTGCTGCAGCTATTCTTCCTTCAGCTGCAGAGATCAGTTTTCTAAGTGGATCAGAACTATAAGATTACAAAATACTGTTCCTCTGAACCACATAAATATTCTTAATTGCTTTATCCTGTCTGAAAAACTCGTACAATTCTCATGAAACCACAAAACTCAAAGCAGAATATCCCCTGATCAGAACGGTTTATCACATTACCCAAAGAATGTAGATAGAGACAAGATTCAATTGCAAAAGGATTGTTTCAAGTGGGAAGCAGAAATTCTGCAAAAACAAATTTTCCTGCTAAAGGCGAATCAATAACCAATTAAAGGGTAGAAAAATCTCATCACATGAGCTAGCAGTTGGAAGTAGATCAAATGGCCAACGGCAACTTAGAGCATCAGATAATAATAATAATAATCCTTGCATTTGATATAGTGCCTTAACATGTCTTCGAGACATCTCAATATAAAGCATATTAAAAAAAAATCCTAACAAGTGAAGTACTGAACAGTACAGAGTATAAGCATTGGCGCAGTGGTAGTACTTTTGCCTCTGAGTCAGAAGATCGTGGGTTCAAATCCACCAATGGTACTTGGCATCAAATAGTCTAAGCTGACACTCCAATGCAGTGCTGAGGGTATGTTGCATTGTCTGAGGTGCCATCCTTCAGATGAGACATTAAACCAAGGTCCTGTCTATTTGTTTAGGTGGATATTAAAGATCTCATGGCAGTATTCGAAAAGAGGAGGGAGTTTCTCCCGGTGTTCTGGCCAACAATCCCCCAAATAAAATTAACTGTTTTTGGGACAGTGCCTGTGAGCAACTGGTTGCCGCGATTCGCTCACAAAATACAAAGTTAATCCACTTTAAGTACAGCCTGTGATGTGCTTTGAGACGTCTCAACAATGTGATAAGGTGCGATATCAAAGCGCTCTGGGACGCGCTCACATCCCTGTGTGAGGGATGTTGTTTAAATGGAAGTTGTTGTTATCAAATGCAAGGAATACTATTAAACAAGTAGTTTGGGTCCCCAAAGGGGTTAAATTGCTCCCGCTTAACAGTGCTTTTCATGCTGCCTTCCACTTTCATACAGATGCACTTAGTTGAAGCAATTTGTATTTCTTGAACTTTATTTCACACACTGAAGCAAAATTGTAACTCAAATAATTCAGAATCTCAGTACAGCGCAATTCAAAACCCTTCCTACCTGCAAAGTCGTGGTCAAGAAGTTATCCTTGGAGACGATGTCCACAAAGAAGTCAGCAGGAATCTCGCTGAGCTGGTGGTACAAGGCTGAGATGAGGAGAGTGTAGAGATCGGTCCGTTTCCCCACAGCCTCTTCGGAGTGACACAGCAGCTGAAGTAGATCCTTCCAGTGCTCGAATGCATCATAGACATTTCCAATTAGGAAGCAAACAAAAGAGAATTGCAATTCACCTGCAAGTGCACAACACAATTGGTTCAAAGCATCCTGCATCACAGCAATGCACACAGTTCCGATAAGGAAAAGAACTGAAACAGCATAATTCAGTGCAATACAAAATAACATTTGCATTCTTGGCTTTATCCTTGTCCCAAGCAACATTAAGCAAACTGGTTAAAACATTTACTAATCTGTTATTTTACAGATGGTGCAGCTATCCCAGTCCAAATGACATATTAAGTGAATCAAGGTTTATTTCAGTAATGTTAAGCTTCATTTTAATGCTTGTAATGGTTCTTTCTTGTTCAATGGTTATTGCTCTTTAAATTGGACTGCGCATATGTTCTTTCAGTTTAATCCAATTCATTTAAAATATGGGCTGCACATTCTGTTATATCACAGATATTCTGATTTACCCAAAGCATTCCAGCATTGCAAATGTGATTTTTTTTTATAACCAGTTTTATTGAACCCTTTGCTTCACAAACAGCAAGGTCAAAATATGTTTAAATAAATGTCCAGTCAATCTGAACATTTGCAATACACTTTTGCTCATCCAATTAAGGAAAGGCTTGCATGAAGAAGCTGAACATTTTTTCCATTTTGTCCAAATTGTGTCAGGATCAAATATTCCCGGGTCAGTTATATGATCCCAGCAACATCCTGACAACCACGTTTCTCAGATTGAATTAGAATTAGTTCATTGCAGAACTACAGGAAACTCCTGATAACTCGACCCTGACTTAACTATCCCAGCCATGTTTATTTATGTATTTATACACATCCCTAGCTTACCACTCCGGATAACTCGTCACCGAGTCCTTAACAGATAAAGCGGGAAGACTCTTAACCCTACAGGCAAGACCTGGATTCAAACCCTTCTCTGGCTGATAAAACCTTCTCCCCAACAGCTGCACCTCTGCTGCTTTACACGGCACAATGGCCTCTTGCAATTGAGCGCTACAGTTGAAAACTACATCTGGCTTCATATCGTTCATATCGTTTTAAGCTTTGCTTTTAATCACAGTTCCTCAACTATTAAACATAATACCAACCCAAAATATCTTTTGGAGAAGCAGAGTACCGTTGGTTTATTACAGACTCCAGGGTGAAGCTAAAATCCATGTTGTATTTTGTGATTTCGGCTGGCGTTGCCCCATCAGGATACTTCTGTTTTGGGATGTTGCTAAAGCGGATCTCAGTGCCAGGTTTTATCTTCATTTTAGGCAGCCTGGCCATACCCTCCTCGTAGCTCTTGCACAGAGTATCATAAGGCAAGAGATTCTGTTCCACCCGGTCCTTTGTGTGTGGCATTAAAACCTCCGGTTGCACCTCAGCAAAGGCACAGATTTTTCCACTTTCAGGTTGTAGCTTTTGAATCAAAGGAGCCGTGATGTGGTTGGTTAAGGAGACCCACTTTTTCATTGTTTCGTAGGGGTAAGGCCCCAAACATTGATCCAGTTCAGTCAGGTTTTCTCGAATCCGTTCTACCTCTGCTTGGGACACCGTGACAAAAACTATTTCTTCCTCTTTCTTGTCCCACCGCTTCACCAGCACTTCTCTCTGCTTGATGTCGAAAAAAAACCCAGTTCGGGGCCCTGTTTCCCGAGCATTTGTGCTGCTGGCAGCGCTGTAGTGCATGAAGTGGATTCCTGGTGGGATCATCTTTACCCCTTTAAACTTTGGTCCGACTTCCCATGTGTTATAATCAATGCCAAACTCAGTTCCTTTAGGAACGCCGAGTATTACAAGAGTTCCTCCTTCAAAGAACAGCCTTCGGGCCAATTCCTGGTCCATCTCTACTGCAGCCATATCTCTGACCTGCCAGCCAAAAGGGGTGGTGGGGGGGGGGACACAAAAGCATGTGTTTATTACCAACTGTTACATTTCATTTATTTCCAAATTGCTCAGATCCTTCAATATACCGGCCACATTTATTTATGTATTTATACATCGTCTCAAAGCGCTTCACAGGATATACTGTAAAGTGAATTGACTGTGTACTTTGTGGTCGCAATAAATACACAAATAAGATACTAAACGTGAGAGGTTAAAAGCCGGAACTGTTTTCATATACAGTAAATCTCACGTATCAGTTGGGACCATACACTGAATATGTCTTATGCAAAGTGTAAGTTATGTGAAACATATAAATAATAGGAAATTCAACGGGACTCGGGGAGATGTACGATTTAAGCGATTATACAATTTATACACATCAGACTGATGCGAGTTTTACTGTATGTCAGTGCAGCAAAGCAAGAGGACAGTTTCTGGTTTTTGTTTAAGGCAGACACCACAAAGTGGAAGTATTTCTTCACATCGAGCAGAATGAACAGCTTAGAATTGGTTGCTGCGAATCGTGGTTTGAGGCCAAGGCAAGCGTTAGTTTATTAAATGGGGGGTACACCATACCTTTCAGCAGGAGTGTATTGTTGGAGATTACCCCTGTACCCCCAAATCTAAAGGGATTATTATTATAATAATTAATATTATTATAATAATTATTATTATAATAATAATATAATAATAATATTATAATAATAATAATTTTAAAAATTCACCCAAAAGATACACGTTCCTGTGAATTGCTTCGAGACGTCCCAACGACGTGATGAGGTGCTATGATTAACAAAATAATCCTTGCATTTGATATAGTGTCTAGAAATGCCAAACCGTGTCAAATCGCTTCACGGCTCGTTGCTGCCAGGCGTGTGGTTAGCGACTGTCAGTGTAATTTGTGGGTGAACAAGGCGGCCAAATTGCCCACAGCAACATCCCCCAGAAACTGATGGGGGAGGGGGGGGTCACTGGGAAGTGTGTGTGGGTCCTCGTATGTGGGTATGTGTGTGGGGCGGTATGTGTGCATGAGGGGGTATATGTGTGTGTGTGGGGGGGGTATATGTGAGGGAGGGGTATATGTGTGTGGGGGGAGTATATGTGTGTGTGTGTGGGGGGGGGGGGGAGTATATGTGAGGGAGGAGTATATGTGTGTGTGGGGTATATGTGTGTGGGGAGGGGGTATATGTGAGGGAGGGGTATATGTGTGTGTGTGTGTGGGGGGGGGGTATATATGTGTGTGTGTGTGTGTGGAGGGGTATATGTGTGTGTGTGTGTGGGGGGGGGTATGTGTGTGTGTGTGTGGGGGGTATGTGTGTGTGTGTGTGGGGGGTATATGTGTGTGTGTGTGGGGGGGGTGTGTGTGTGGGGGGTGTGTGTGTGTGTGTGGGGTATATGTGT